ATCGATCGGGATAAAGGGGATGTACTTTTTGTAACACACAAAGTTATTATTAAGTATTATCTCCATTGTATTTTAGTTATCATACTAACTTTACATATATCTAGATAATCTAAGAATGAAAAATTATTGATATACATTTTATTTAACACATTTTTTTTACATTCATTTTAATTTAACTATTAAAATATAATATAAATGTAACTGATTTAATCTATCTTTATATCATATATGTATATAACTACATTTTTAAATTTGTTTACTTTTAATTTTAAATTAAAAATAATAATTTTTAATAAAATATTATACAATATATTAAACTAAAAAAATGTACTACTTATTGTCCTCTAATAATTGATTAAAACAAAATACATCCCATAAAAAAAAAGAAAAAAGAACAAGATTCCAAAGGGTTAAGTAAGCCACCATGACGATCTCATGTCATGTATTGAGTCCAATGACGTGGGTAAAATGTCTAAAAGAAGTTACTCTGTACCGTACTTATTAAAAGGCCAGATGACCGAGAAAGAGGACATCATAATTACTCTATTTTACCACATAATATTGTCTTTATTAGATCGTTATATATTTAAAAACATTAGCCTGATGTGTGGAAAAGATAAAGACAGTCAAAACAACATCAATTCATTCATTTTTCATTGAAGTATATATTTTTATAATTTCCCATTTGAAATTGATGTTTTTAAGTGGGTTACTAACTATAGGTGGTTTTTTTTTTTCTAATTTTATTTTAGTTGTCAAATTTTGATTCATCAAGTACCAGTTATATCATCATTTTCTTTTATTTACCATCAAAGAATTCTTGAATCAATTTTTATATATTTGGAGATTAAATATTAATTTAATACATTTAAAAAAATTAATTTCTTTAAGTATTGATTTTAAGACTTAAAACTTAAATTTGAGTTATAAGATAACATTTATTTATTAGTGAATCTCACCCTTAAGATTACTAGTTATAGTGTTATTAAAATAATAATAGTACTCTCCCAAGGGAGTGATTAAATAGTTACAAATTTGATATTCTAAATTAGATATCTTAAGTTTGAACTTAAGTGGGTGGAAGGGATTTAAAAAAAAGATTTGTTTAATTTATATTTTTAAGGAACAAGTTAAAGTACATTAAATGCATTAATTTTTTTATTTAAAATGTAAAAATAATACATTATTTTCAACATTAATACCACTTGAATGATTTTAATTGGATAATTAATCAACTTAAAATTAACTTTTATTTTTTATATAAATTAATTACGAAAGATACAATTAATACTTTTTTAATTTGTACCATATGAAATTATGAATATAAGTTAGACAAATTCTTTAAAAAAAAAAATTAAGCTATCATATACCCATCGTTATTTATTAAATGTATCAAAAAAATTAAAACAATAATAGCAATACCCCATTTTGATCACGACCACCGCTCAATCAAGAACTGAGTACGATTCCATTTTCACGGTAAGCATTAGTTTTGAATGGTAGATCCGACTCTCCAAAAAAACAAGCGAAATATATCTACAAATATGGATGTTAGCCAAGATCAATATCTACCGCACATGGAACCTGGCTTATGGGTAGGTGGAAGCAATATTATTTATCATTTATTTAGTTAAGATTTTGAGAGGTTTTGAATATATTCTCTTTTCTTTTTCTTTAAGAATTATAATAGTTTAAAATAAGGCACAAGTTATGTGTTTTTTATAATTAATTTCTATAAAAATTGATAAAAATTAACTTGAATTTAATTAATTAATTAATTAAAACTATTCACCTGATATTAACACTAAAATAAAAATTAATTTTTGTTATTTTT